AACTGATATAAGCAAATTCTTTTTGTACTTGTCCTGGGGCTTGAACTCAGGGCTTGTACACCATCCCTGAGCTTTTCTGCTCAAGGCTAGTCTCTACCACCTCACCCACAGCTCTATTTCTGGCTTTTTTTTATAGTACTAAATTGGTGGTGAGGTTCTCACAGACTTTCCTGCCCAGGTGGCTTCAAACTGCAATCCTCACATTAATTTTGTGCTGGTACTAGGGCTTGCACTGAGGGCCTGGGAGCTGTTCCTGAGCTTTTTTGCTCAAGGCTGGTACGCTACCACTTGCAGTAAGTACATCTCTACTTCTAAGTATGTATAGGAGGAATCAGACAAATGTATTTTTTCTTCCCTTATCAAGTACAGGATATCTGCTTATTTATAACATGAAGAGCTTTGGGCCACTTTGAGGTTTCTTTGGATTTAAATAAATGTATGTAAAGTATACAGTATAAAGTCTTATATACATAATCATAATACAGACTCGCTAACCACCACTTTTAAGATTTGATTACATTGTTAGCAGATGTGACTAGATAATAAAATCAAGATGTTACCACAGAAAGTTACCACCTTTTTATGGTTGCCAAAGGAGCAAAACTTAAACTGGGTTAGTAGTCAATAAGCATCTTTCTTATGTACTTCTTCCTAAGACTGAAACGGACAATTATCTCTATGTGTCTGATCCCTGCAGAGCTGAGGAACACACAGTACACGGCACACACAGAAACTTTCCTTAAGTTGGATGGAATATTTCCCTACCTCCAATGTTTGTGCACACAATTTCTTCTACATTCCTGCTACCATGAAAAAGGAACACTGTAGTGATTGAGAATGAAATTCCATAAATTTTACAGCTAAAGAGAACAGTTGTGACAAATACACTGAAACAACAAAATCAGAGTCTGGGTGGTGACAAGCAGCGGTGTGACATCTGGCGGAAGCCAAAGTCACAGCAAGGGGGAGAGAGGTGGGCGTGAGGAAGCATCCTGCCGAGCGTGGACACGGAAAAGGAGAGGAATTGACAGTCTTCTTTTGGAGCCAGGCCAGCCTTTGCCACCTCTAATTGAATGGGACGACATCACTATGAGGGAGGTGCCTTGAAGAATGGTGCGGTTTCTTAAGCACTGTACCCTACCTTGGAATGCCAAGCCCTATGGAAAGCATAACTGCCATTCCTATAGGAGGAGATAGAGAACCAGGAACAGGACAAATGAGTTTATCTACAGATGACTGGATTTTGAAACAAATAGTGTGCATGCCCCCCTTTCTGTGGTCCTGGAAATTGAACCAAGGGCTTTGCACATAATAAGTGTATGCTTTATCAACTGAGCTATAACCCCAGTCCCAAACTTATTCCTTTTTGTCTGATTGTCAAAACTGCCTAAGATTCCATTTTGGCATTGAGAATACTCTACAGAAACACAGTTTACAGAGTTAAGAGGGACCTATGAATTCAACTAGTTTATCTAGCATACCTTTTATACATGTGAAGAATAAAGTTCAAAGAGGAGATAGTGACTTGCTCTAAATGACACATGTAATTAACATCAGAATCAGATCCAGAACTCAGACTTTTCAACTGCAAATCTTGTATGCTTTTCCAGGAAATCATGCTGCCTCCACAAAATGGAAATTAGTGTAAAAATGATTCAATATGTAAATGTCACTTTCACACTCAAGTATTTCAGAATGTACTATTTTGAACACCACATCTATTGTTCTCCGTTTCACTTATCACATATATAACCAGTAATATTTTAGGCTTTAAATGGCAAGTTTAATGTTACAATTATAACTCTTCTACAGGGTCTAAATCTTTACACATATATACATGTGATGATAGATATCAACATTTTAACTGCTTTGTCAGTGTCCCTTTTTTAACCTTATTAATAAATAAAATAGATGAATTATTTTCCTGTATTGATGTTATGTATTCTCAATTAGGAGCTTTTTTTTTTTTAAATTAACCAACAGGATTTAGTTGTTTTGGTATAACTTTTAAAATTCCAATTTTGTCATTTTAATTAAAGAAAGATTTGGTACCTGAAAGAAAATTTCATTATAAAATTCTAGAACTTTCAATTATTGTGACCTAAGTACATTTTAGCTCAAAAACATTATGGTTATGTGGATAAGAAAAGGGATGAAGGAGAACTATAAAGTCAAAGAAAAATGAATCATTTATACCCTGAACTTAATCCTCTTGGATATATTCTTTTTTAAGAAACCTTGTGCAGATTTGATCTCTTTTGGCCTTTAGTATAAAACATACAGTTTATAAAAGGATTCAACCAAATCCTACAAGAATTCCCTAGTATTACCAGAGAGTATAATTATGAAACAGGCAAATGCTCCAACCAGCTTCACTTCTGTGTTTAGAACATGAATAAGTTCAATAAATATTTAGTTAGCATTTGCTGTGGGAGAAGCGTTGTGCTAGGAGATGGAAGATGAGGCCTGGAGCTGGAAGAAGCTCCCAAGAGACATGGGTGGGTAGGAAGGACCAGGCAGAGGAAACAGCAGTATTAAAGTAAAGAAACAGGGAGGACCAGGAAGGTTTGGGTAATGAAGGAATTTAGGACACATATACCATAAACGAACTGGAATGGTAATACCTTTGGCATCCTAGACTAAAGATAATGAACTTCCACTGAGGAGCCAATGAAAATTGCTGCTTCCATATCTCTGCCCATTCATGTCTTCCACTAGTTCCAGCATTTTCTTTTCTCTTAAACAGAAGATTTGTAGACAGGAAGTACAAATAGTCATTTTAAGATAGTAATTATAGTTGCATGACAGTAAAACTAGGATGGGCCCAAAAGAACAGTTAGTAATACAGATGGAAGATAATGAGGGCCAATTGTGACAAAAGCAGAAGGGAATGGAGGAGGAGATATAAAATATATAATGCATTTAAAAGGCAGAACTGAACAACTAGTATAACAGAAAAGGAGCCAGGTGCTGGTGGCTCATACCTGTAATCCTAGTTACCCAGGGGGCTGAGATCTGAGGATTGTGGTTCAAAGCCAGCCTAGGCAGGAATATCTGTGAGACTCTTATCTCCAATAAACAACCAGAAAACCGGAAGTAGCACTGTGGCTCAAGTGGTAGAGCGCTAGCCTTGAGCTGAAGAGCTGAGGGACAACGCCCAGACCCAGAGTTCAAGACCCATGACTGACCAAAAAACAAAGAAAGAAAAAGAAAGAAAAAAAAACAAAAACAAACAGAAAAGGGGAGGGAGAAAGAGGAGTTGAGATTTTCAAGAAAGGGTATAACCCAGTTACAATGGCCAACACTGAATTTGAACAACAAATGCTGGCGGGGATGGGAGAGGAGGGGGAAGGAACCCTACTGTACTGTTGGTGGGAGTATAAACTAGCACACTCTGGACAGCAGTTTGGCAGTTCCTCATAAAACTAAACATAGACCTTCCCTACGATCCAGTCATACCACCCCTAGGCATTTATCCTGAACATCATGAGCCAAGATATAAGGACATCTGCACATCCATGTTCATTGCAGCAATATTCACAACAGCCAAGATATGGAAAACAGCCCAGATGCCCCACAATAGATGAGTGGATCCAAAAAATGTGGTACCTATATACAATGGAATTTTACACAGCCCTCAGAAAGAATAAAATTATGTCATTTGCAGTGAAATGGATGGAACTAGAGCAAATCATGTTAAGTGAGGTAAGCCAAGATCAGATAGATAAATGGTGCACGTTTTCTCTGATATGAAGAAGTTAGATCCAAAACATACTGGGAAATGATGAATTATACAGGATTCTAGATACTCACATACAGTGAGACCCAAAGAGGATACTCTTTTGGGGAATAGAGGAGAGAATCACAAAGGTGCAGTGTGTAAGCCTCTTCATATTTATATAAAGTAATATACATACTGAAACAAACTCCTAAGATACGGAAACAAAAGACTTTTCTCTCTTTTTTAGTTTTGATGATTCTTCTTTTATTATTTTTTGTTGTTGTTGTTGGTCATGGGGCTTGAACTCGGCCTGGGCGCTGTCCCTCAGCTCTTCAGCTCAAGGCTAGCACTCTACCACTTGAGGCACAGCGCCACTTCTGGTTTTCTAAGTGGTTTATTTCCTGCCCAAGCTGGCTTTGAACCATGATCCTCAGATCTCAGCCTCCTGAGTAGCTAGGATTATAGGCGTGAGCCACAGGCGGCTGGCTTGATGATTCTTCTTTACCTTATAAATATTGTATACATGTGTATATCTTTGGGAAGGTGGGAGGGAGGGCACAGAACTTGAGGGGAAAAGGGTGAAAAAGTACAGCAGTGGAGCTCACTGGACATTGATGAAAGTGAACTATACAACTTGTGGGTAGAGATAGGAGGGACTGGGACAGAATGAGGGAACAAATGACACAGATACGTGAGTCATTACCTGACTCACGTATATGTAACCCCTCTATACATCACCTCTATAATAACAATAAAATAATTTAAAAAAAAAAAAAGGTGTACCCTGGGTTCGATTCCTCAGCACCACATAAGCAAAAAGAAAAAAGCCAGAAGTGGTGCTGTGGCTCAAGGGGTAGAGTTGCTAGCCTTGAGCTGAAGAGCTGAGGGACAGCACCCAGGCCCAGAGTTCAGGCCCCATGACCGGACCCAAAAAAATAAATAAATAAAATAAAAATAAAAAAAAGGTGTAAAAGGGCCAAATTTGGACCAAGGACTTTGTTGGTTGTTGTTGTTACCTATGAGGCTTGAACACAGGGCCTAGATGCTGTCCTTGAGATCTTTTGCTCAAGGCTAGAGCTCTATCACTTTGACCACGACACCACTTTCAGTTTTCTTCTGGTGCTTAATTGGAGATAAGAATCTCATGGACTTCCCTGCCTAGGCTGGCTTTGAACTTAGATCCTCAGATCTCAGCCTCCTGAGTAGCTAGGATTACAGGCCTGATCTTAAAGAGCTGTTCCAAGGCAGCTGGAAAGAGAAAACAGAGTACAGTCAAAAGTCAGTGAGCCTCAGTGAAAATGCAGCCTTCTGGAGGTTTTATTGACATGAACATAACTTTCTCACTCATATTGTGGAAGTCAGTTACCAATTCTAAAAGGACACATGGGAGAGGTATATGTAGGTTGCTGTACCAGTAAAAGAAGTTGAGGGTGTCATAAACTTGGTGGAATGGGGAGAAGGTAAGTACAGAGAAAATTTTCCTGATAAATATGGAAGTGAGTCAGTCAGCAATTAACAGCTAGCCATAAGAGCACACAGGTACATACTAGAGAGAATATTAGCAAAAGCTTAGATACAAGAAAGAGCAAGTTCCTATTATCTTCTAGTACTGTTGGACGAAAAAAAAAGGTACAGAATTAGATCCTAAGAGAGTTTTCTATTAATGCTATGTCTGAAAAGAAGCTGAAAGTGAACAGAACCAGAGCCAGGCAGCAGTGGCTCACACCTGTAATCCTAGCTACTCAGGAGGCTGAGATCTGAGGATAGCAGTTAAAAGCCAGCCTGGGCAGGAAAGTCTGTGAGACTCTTATCTTCAATTATGCACTAAAAAAGCCAGAAGTGAAGCTGTGATAGAATGCCAGCCTTAACCAAAAAAGTTCAGGGATACCATTCAGGCACTAGGTTCAAGCCCCCAGAACTGGACAACAACAACAAAAAGAGTAACTTTCTGAACAGGGAGGTAAAAGCAACTGCTTGACTTTCTTCTGTTCTCTTCTGTTACTAAAAACCAATCACACTTATGTTTATAAATCATCATACTACATTGAGGAGAAGGCAAGCAAACCTTTGACTTTTTTGTTGTTGTTGTTGGTGGTCGTAGGGCTTGAACTCTGGGCCTGGGCGCTTTCCCGGTACTCTTCAGCTCAAAGCGAGCGCTCTACCGCTTGAGCCACAGCATCACTTCCGTATTTCTAGTGGTTTGCTGGAGATAAAGAGTCTCAAGGAGTTTCCTGCCAGGGCTGGCTTTGAACTGTGATCCTCAGATCTCAGCCTCCTAAGTAGCTAGGATTATAGGCATGAGCCACTGGCACAGCTTAAACCTTTGACTTTTAAGAGCACAAAATGAGACAAAAAAAACATGGTTCTGATAACAAGATTAGTTTTTCCTCTCTCCTTTTCCTCTCTACTCCCTCTCTCAGTCCTGAAGTCAGTCTTGAGTTTGCTAAGCAGATACCCAATCACCTGAGTTCCTCGTATCTAGCCCTTTTTTGCTTTGGCTATTTTTGAAATAGGATCTCATGTTTATGCCCAAAGCTGGCCTGGATTCTCCTATTCATGTTTCCCACATAGCTGGGATGACAGGTGTGTGCACACATCTTCTGTTTCTTTTCTCTGTCTTAGGCAATTCTCTGAAAGTACATTTAGTATAATAAATTAAATAGTCCAGTTGGAGCCTTAAGTGCTCTATATGTAATGGGAGGGATAATATTGCTGGTCTGAGAGTTACAAAGAATTAAATTTCTCACCTGCATTCAAGTGCCTAGAAAAATGTCTGGTAACAGTAGAAATTCAACAATTTTCAATCTTAAGATTCAAATATTATGTATGCTTCACTTTTAAGTAAGACTGGATTTTAAAGTGCCTTCTCAATCATTCCAAAAATTCTACAAATCTTATTCTTCTAAAGCCATCATGAATCCCAAATTTGATTGGTTCTCCTGTTAAATTGTAGCCTTACGTATTTAATCGAAGTTTAGAGATTTAATGAGTTGAAATGCAACATGGCACAGATGCCTTATTATACCAACTAGTTAACACAGTATTTGCTTTCTACATTAATTTTACTTGCTAATCAAAAATACTGCTTTCTCCCAAATAACATCAAAATAAAATTGCTGATTATGCAATGGCAAAACCAACACCATGTTAACAACAAGGCCACTTGAATTCTTTTTTTCATGAGCTAGCAGTTTCCAGGGAAAATTCAAGATTCCATATATCTTTAACTCCTTAAAAAACTCAAATGCAGAAGCCATGTTTTCCTACAGACCAACACACCCTGGAATATATTAAGTTGACAATGAAGAACAGCCTCCTGAGTATGAATGCTGAACATTACAAGTAATCCATCTCTGATTTTGTGTGTGGAGGAGTTTGAACTCAGGGTTTGGGCACTGTCCCTGAGCTTTTGTGCTCAAGGGTAGTGTTCTACCACTTGACCACCACTTCACTTCTGTCTTTTTGACGGTTAATTAGAGCTAAGAGTCTCATGGACTTTGCTGCTTGGGCTGGCTTCCAACCAAGATCCTCATATCTCAGCCTCCTGAGTAGCTAGGATTACAGGTGTGAGCCATTGGCACATGGCTTCCTCTCTCTGATTTAATAAATAAGATGGTCTTCTGGAAATGAACAAGGACCAGGCTGGGTGACAGTGGCTCACATCTATAACCCTAGCTACTCTGGAAAGTAAAAGATATGAGATATGAAGACAGAGGTTCAAAGCCAGCCTGGGCTAACAAATCTAAAAGACTATTATCTCCAATTAACAAGTTAAAAAAATTGAAGTGAAGATGTGGTAGAGCATCAGCCTTGAGCAAAAAAAGCTAAGCAAAAGGCTAGGTAGGCACAGTAGCTCACGCTTATAATCCTGTTCAGATCTGAAATTGCAGTTTGGTCAGGCACAAAAAAGAAGAGGGGGAAATTTTTTTTTCATTAAAAGTCTTCATAACATGGACTACACCTCCAGAGTTTCCATTTATATTCTTATCTCCAAACTCTCAGCCTTCCTTATAAATGGTCTATGCCATATATTGATATTTACTTTTTAATTAGAGCTTTATTTGATTAAAACTCTAGTTAATAACTAGACTCTAGTTAATTTAAATTTTCTAATAACTCTCTAGTTACCTGTTTTAACTAATGGAATACAATATGATTTGTATGCTATGTCTCATTAGTTAAAACAGATTAAAAAATTAGGGCCAGAGGCTCTGAGAACGAATGGACCTGCCCTAAAAATCATTTGCAAACACTGTGCCTACTCTAACATGCTCTCATATATCCTGATGTGTGCTTCCAGTTTTCCCTTTTGCTTCAGCTTCGTCTTAGCAACAACTAGTCTTTTGAGGATCAGGTAAAGCTCTGTGATCTCAACAGCACCCTGTGTACATGGGAATCTTAGCACTTATCACTCTCCAGTCAAAGTGATTGTTTACTTTTCCATTCACCATCTGAAGGCATGAACTAAGCGTTGCACCTGTTTCCTCAGCCCTAAGAACAATAGCAGGCTGGAGATTTGCTAAATAAATAGCAGTTACAGAACATCTTGGCTATAGGCAACAGAAAGGGAAGTGAAGAATTTTGGTAGAACATTTCAGCTATTCAGATATTATTATTCCTTACTTTTTTTTCCTTTTCAATATGATTAATCCTATTTTCTTTATTGTCTATACTCAAAGGCAATGGTAAATCTGAATTTTTTTTCATTTATTACTTTAAAAAATGTGTTGTGCTGGGGCTGGGAATGTAGCTTAGTTAGAGTGCTTGCCTAGCATGCATGAAGCCCTGGGTTCGATTGCTCAGTACTACATAAACACAAAAGCCCAGAAGTGGCTCAAATGGTTGAGTGCTAGCCCTGAGCAAAAAGAATCTCAGGGACAGTGCCTCTCAAGGCCCAAGACTGGCAAAAAAAGAAAAAAAAAAGATGTGTTGTGCTTTCTTGCCACTTTAGCCTTCCTTTTTTATCATCATAAACCTTTTACAAAGTAACACATATGCAAGTACATAAAATATAGATGTACAGCTTAATGTATATGATGAATACACATGGTAGATAGCACAGTCAATACTATATTCCCCCCAAAGCCCTTTTTGTTGCCTACATGTATCTATTTTAGGGAGAAAGTAAAGAAAATCTCACAGGATTTTTTAGATCAGACTGTAAATTCATATGGGTGATCCTAGGCAGGTAAAAAGAAGCACTAAAATGTGTATATTTCTGTCTATGAGTATGTATTAGGGCATGTCCACATCTGTGCCTACCCAGGCCACAGCACTGATTTCAAACAATCTTAAAAGGTGGTGTAAAGCTAAGTACTGGTGGCTCATACCTGTAATTCTAGCTATCTAACTCAGGCTCAGAACTGAGGAACATAGTTCAAAGCCAGCTTAGGCAGGAAAGTCTGTGAGACTCTTATCTCCAATTAACCACCAAAAAGCTGCAAGTGGAGCTTAACTCAAGTGGGAGAGCTTTAGCCTATGACAAAAACACTTAGGGGAAAAGCCCAGGCCCTGAGGTCAAGCCCCAGAACCAGCAAAAAGAACCACAAAAACAAAGTGTAAATCTGTATTTCTAACGGTAAACATCTTAAAAAATAATAGGCATGTTTTTACTATACAGACACAGTACTCTGCTACTCTAGGCTTAAATCAAACCAAATAGGAAATCACATGATTTGTATAAAAAATGATACAAATCATACAAATGCTTCATCACCATTGTGGACAGAAAAGATATTTTAAGTGAAAAGTTGGCATTATGGGATTGCACAATTCCAGCCATCCAATAAGCTTATTCCACTCAACCAGAATAGGGGTTCTCTCTGCTCACAGCAGGCATCCAACAGGGTAGCACATATATGCTCTCTGAGTGAGAAAGCAACACCTTCTCACATACAACCCCCTGGAGAGAGATGGGGAAGGGGAGGGGGAGGACTTTACACCTGCAAACTCCTAGCTATCAGCACTAGGGTTGGGAAAAACAGCACATAATTTTTTAAAAAGAAGAGGGTAAAAAAGGTTTCTTGATGAAGCTAGTAGCTTCAAATAATCTTCTCAAGCCATGTCCCTGGACTTCCTTAGGAGAATAGTAAGTACAATAATTCAAAAGCTACTCTTGTCTTCCTGATGGACTTTTCTCAAGCCCTAATGACTGCCTAAGTAAACTGCTCAAAAGGGCAGCTGACAGAATTTTTATTCCTCTTGGTAGAAAAACAGTATTAAGCACCAAGTGTTGTCATATTAATTAAGGCATCTCAACTTCAAGGCACATCTGTCTCTGGGCCTTTGGATAATCAAAATGACCACTAAAAATAGAACAGCAGTATCTCTAGTGGGGCAGATCTAAGCCACCCTGATCCTAGGAGATTCCT